TTTGAACATCACAATTTACTTCTCTCCTTTGGAAGGTGCTGGAAAAATACAGCTGGAAATTCTTGTTCTCTGGGTGTCCCCTTTCTAGGATATAAATAGATCATACTCCCATCTATATTACTTTTTTAAAGACTGTTATCATCTTAACTATTAGATCTGGATGCTGCTTCCAAATCTCCACAGCAACATGAATTGTTCTTCTCTAAGCTCCAACTGCTCCTTATTTATGAATCTGTACCCCCCCAGGGTGAAATAAGTACTAATTATGCTGCAGCTTAGCTGTTATCTCTGCTTGCCTAGAACAAAAACTCCTTGAGGGCAGGGAACATTTTAACTTGTATCCATACCCAGCTACTGCCTGTTTTAAGACAGGTACTCAAAAAATTTAATGAGCAAACAATAGATTTTGCTAAATGTCATGTATGTAGTAACACCATTTGCACTGAGAGGAGGTAAGTTTTTAAAGTTTTAATGAGAACTTCACTCATTGTGTACTTTTTAAACTGGATAAAATATGTTTCCTAAGGTTAGATATTTTTGACTGCTTCCCAAGCTAAACTTTGCTTGATCCTTGGTCATCTTCCCTGGAGCCATGGGCTAAAATGTCACAAATTGTACTTGGTTGTTTTGGCTCCTTAGCATCTGTCTCCCATCTTACTATGTAGCTATGTTCTTAAGTTAAAGGTACACCTGCAAATGACAGAGGCATGTCCATGAGCAGGCAAAATATGCCACCAAATGGGTCTCTGTCCTTCAATAAAATTGACTCTTTCTTCTACTTTTTCATCTCTTTTTCAGCCCTATCCTGAAAATCTACTTGATTTCATACAAATTAATGAAAACTGAAATGTTTGAATAGGAGGTTAATAACTAGCTACACTGAGTGAATGTAATAGAAGTAATAACCACTTCTGAAAATGGCAGGTAGTTACTGGCAAACAGAAAAGACTGTCTTTTGAATTGTAATTAGGAAGGGGAAGGAGTCAGTTTTAATAAAATTTGGGGGTGTTAAAAATCTCTAGTAAAGAATTCAGCTGTCATTCTTATCATGGAAATTAATTCTACAGTCAAAGCCAGCTGAGCCCTCAGTATCAGGTAAGAAGTGCCACTAAAGTAATTTTATTTTTGTTAAAAAAGTTATATTAGTATTTAAGTTATGTCAAATATTATAGATATATAAAAGGTGCATTTACAATTAAATGTAATGTTTACTTCTTAATATAATTTATTATCAGCATAATATGTAAAACAGAAAAATTTTAAAAATCAAAAGGGCAGATTAGTTTCTGTGCTTCTCCTACATAATTAAATGCATCATACTAAAACTACAAGAAAGTACTTTCTGGTCTCACTGGTTCCTGTTCTTATTTCTAAGTTTAAAGATTTATATATTTTCTTTGTTGTTGTTGTTGTTTTGTTTTTTGGGCTGGGACTTCCATATGTTGCCCAGGCTGATATTGAACTCCTAGGCTCAAGGGATCTTTTACCTTAGCCTCCTGAGTAGGTGGGACTGCAGATGTTTGCAATCATTCCCAGCTTAGTCTTTTTTTCTTTAATAAAAATCGGGCACCTATTCATCAGTTGAGTTTGGTTTTAAGCCATAAATATTTAGTGAATATTTTTTTAAAGCCAAGAAAGGAATAAGTATTGCACAAGTTACCCAACTATCTGAAATTATACTGTATGTTACACACATTTACAAAAACTAGTTCATTTACTCACCAATTTAAAATCTGACCAGAGGATTATAATGATTTAATGTGGAATTCTGAGACAGGAGGATCACAAGTTCAAAGCCAGCCTCAGCAACAGGGAGGCACTAAGCAACTCAGTGAGACCCTGTCTTTAAGTAAAATACAAAATGGGGTTGGGGATATGGCTCAGTGGTTGAGTGCCCCTGAGTTCAATCCCCAGTACTCAAAATAGATAGATAGATAGATAAAAGGGCAGATCAGTTAGTATTTAAGTTATGTCAAATATTATATATATAAAAGAAAGAAAACCATAGGTACATATTAATTTTTTCTAAGAAAGGTGTTAACATATAATGATAATATTTTGTATATATTAAAGAGCTAGATTAGGGAATAGCTATTTCAGTGAAGAATAAGAGTAGAAAAGGAATATGAAATAATCTGAGGGTTCCATTTGATTATTTTTAAATATTTTTTCTTGCTAAAGACAGAAACACTAGACATTTTCATTGCTTTGTCCTCTAGATCTAATTAGATTTCAGTCAGGAGCATCTAACTTTAAAGATCTGCCTCTGCCAAGCTGGGTCCCCCCTACCCCCATCCCCACTCCAATCTTCAACTTAAAACCTGGAAAAGAGGGTCAAAATAACGGGTTCCAGAAGCAATCATTGCACTGGCTCCTTTGTTTTGGGGATAAGGCAAGGGGTATGAGGTTTCAGTCATTTTTTGTCCCAAGAAAACAGATCAAAAGGAATGTACAGAGGGTTCAAATCTGGACAGCCCAGCAAATCTAGTCCTGTCCCAAGTGACCGGGGCTGTTGGCAAGACTTGCTGCCTAGTCCGAGACGCAGTTAACTCCTGAGGCCTTTAGCTTCACCAGAAATACAAGGATTTCTGGGGCGGGAAAGGGGAGAAGCGGTGGGTGTATATGTGTTGTGGGAAGGCTCCCGGGAAGTCTTCCACAGGGCCCACAAGGCAGAGGACATACACTCTTTCCTTCACCACATAAAGCCACCATGTAAAGTAGCATCTTTGGTGCCGGTTGGCATCTGCCTCTTCTGTTACAGCCTTCACAGTGTTACCCGAGTTCTTGTGTTGCTTTCATATTCAAAGGCACAGGAATTGCAGAGAGCAATTAAAGTTTGTGATAAACGTGTAGAAATGTTTCATATTGAACAAGATCAGTTTCTTAAGACTCTCCTGCATCCAGCACCAATTATCCCAAATGCTTCCCAATGTCCTCTTAACAGCCAAGTCAACCAGATGGCTTCCAATCCACACTATTGTTAGAATACTTTTATTTTTTAAGCAAAACAATTTACCCCCCTCCCACACACACACCAGTTTGCTAGTGAAAACATAAATAAAGTACACTTAGGAAAAATGGTTATAACTAATCGTGGTCTTTGAATGCCCTTTGAGTCTGCGTTGGGGATTTAGGGATGATTTTTTTAAAAAGCAAAATGAGAAACAGACTATACGGGTAATATGAGTATATATAGGTTTGAATAGACACCCACACATACATTTTTTTCCCCCAAATTCAGTTATAGATTCTTTCACCTGGTTTGCCGGTTGGCAGTCACCTCTGTAGGTGCCAGGGGCTCCCAGGATTCGAGGAACGGCCCTATTCAATGCCCCATTCCCGCCTCCCTGGAGGACACCCCTTCCCCCAGAGTTCAGGGGCTTCCCCTCCCCGCGTGGCCAGGCCGCGCGCCCGCCCGCCCGCTCAGGGATCCCAGTTCGGTGCCTCTCCACGGTTCCCCTCAATGTCCCAGGCCCCATCGCAGCCGCCAGCGTTCCTTCCTCTTCCTGGGCCACAATCTTGGCGTTCCGGGATTGGCTTTACCCCGTATCAGCAGGAACACGTCCGGGAAGACCTCTCGAGGGGACCTCGAGCACCACATGCGACCCTCAAAGCCCAAATCTCCTTTCCCGCCTCACTGGGCCACGGCGCCGGGAGCCAGGCAGGCGAAGCGCAGCCTCCGGTGCTCTAAGGCCCCAAATGACCGATGGCCCGCCGTCACCGAGGACTAGGAGGCCCTCGGGTCAAACCTGGGGCCACTCCGCCGCTCCTCGGCTGCTGTCTGGGAGGAAGTGTAGGTGTGTGAGCCGGAGAAAGGGAGCGAGCCGCGCCCTCGGGCCGGCGTGGGCAGGGCGCCGCGGCCTGCGCAGCCCCGAGGGCCCCGCGTCGCTCTCCCGAGCCAAGGTTCTCAGGAGCGGGCCGCTCAAAAGACGTTAGCGGGAGGAGTTAGCGGCTGTTGGGGGAACGGGTTCAGGGAAACAGTCCCTTCCAAAGCACGGCAATCGCGGGGTGGGGCGCCGTGCTCCCTCCCAGGCCGGGGGCGCTGGCCAGAAGGGGCGCGTGTGGCGACAGTGACCGCCTGCCGCGGCACGCCCGGGCAGGGCTGCGCAGGAAGAGCCGGGGGACCGTCGCCCGTTGGCCCCGCTGGGGCTGAACGCCCAGGGGTCGCGGTGCGTCGGCCTGCAGCGCGTCAGGTGAGGAGGTCGCCATGGCGATGTGGCCCCAGGCGCGCAGGCCCGCTGCGGTTGGCATGGAAGCAGCCCCGGCGAGGCCCGGGGACGCCGCTGATTGGCCGATTCAACAGACGCGGGTGGGTTGAAAGTAATCGGCGCTGTGCGCCCCGCCGCCGCCGCCGCAGGGAGCCCGGCGCCCCCGCAGGAATCTATTAACACCTCGGAGCCTCCCTCCCGCCCCGCCCCCCTCTGGCGGCACCTCAGCCCCATCACGGTGTGCACTTGCTGCTTGTGGGAGACAGAAAGATAAAGCGCCAGGAGGGACGGAGGTCCCGCTCTGGCTCCCAAGCAGGTTCTGTCGTCTTCTGCTGGTGGGAGGAAGGCCGCGGGGCAGCACCTTGCTTGTCACTTGGGAAGGGTACATAACTTTCCGGCAGTCAGGTATTCCTGGATCTTTTGTTTGGGGTCAGGGGAGATGAGCTTCGCGGCAGAGGAAGACTGAGGCTCTTGGGTGTAAACTCCCAAATTACATGGGGCTTAGTATCCTGACGTGGAGGTTTGGCAGGATGTCTCGTTCCTGCCAGCCCTCGGGTAGGTCTTGGATGAAATCCCGCAGAGATTCAAATCAGTGTTTTGGTTCAGGGCAGCTTTGATCCCTAGTGCTGTCACTCCTGGGCCTTTCAACACATAATAATTTGTTGGGAAGATCAGCAATTAGTGGGGATTCCAAGACTTGGTGCTTTGCCTCCTAGAGATTCACTGAATCCTTGGAGCCCCAGGTAGGGAGGGTTGACTAACAGGCTTCTCTATTTCTCCTGGTGACAGCAGTTTGTGGCGTCCAAGGCAATGCGTCGCAGCAGCTCCAAGAGTGGAGTCGTCCTGGCTGCAGTGGCTAGAGGTCCTGATGCTTCTCAGATGCTCACCAGAGCCCAGCTTGGCCAAGATCCCCCACAAAGGACAGTGCTAGGGGTGCTAACCGAGAATGGTCAGTACAGGAAGACCTGTGGCCAGGTAATGACCAGAAGCACTGGGAAAGATGCTGTGGAGAATGACTCTTCTATGATGGTAGTAGGTGCTTTTCTCTTGCAGTTGTACCTACTACTGTCCTAGAATATTACAGCCTTGGATCTGGACTACAAGGAAGTTGATTTCTTAAGACCTTCTTAACCAGTTCTGTTTTGAGCCAGAAATAGTGATTATTACTTTTGTTATTTTTCCAACATTAAGGAAATAAGTTTGGGAACTGTTTGTATTAAATATATGTAAAGTGATTCAGGGGCTAGGCTGAAAGGAAATGTGATTTGGAGCTGGAATTCCTTGGTCAGAGTTGTGTTCAAGGTAGTGCCTAAAGCAATACTGGGCAACCTTTGCTGTGTTCATTTGGGATAGTGTGAGAATTGGGATTGGATCAAGCTACTTCAGGTTATACTAGGTTACTTCAAAAAGGTTGCTTTGAGAGCAGACATCTTCCTGCTGACAAAGAGCAGTTGGGCAAAAAGATAATGGACCCTCAGATATTGTTTGTATGTGCTAAACTTATCACAGTTACTTTCCTTTGAAGATTAAAAATAAATCCAGACACTTAAATGAGAAGGCAGGGTTTGGATCCTTAGGAGTGAATTATTTAGATAGAAAAAAATCTTCCCTCTCTGCTATTAGATTAGTCTTCATAAAAATGCCTTAAGCCTGTATTGTACATCTAAGTGCTTGATGGTCACAATAGTCCAGTGAAGTAAGGTATTCTTTCTGTTTTATAGGTGACAAAGTGTGAGGTTTAATATCCCCAAAAATGTTGTGGTAGAGGCTAGATTAGAAGCTTTCCATCTGTTGCATCTTTAAGTTACTTACTTTTTGATGGTTTGGTTAGTGTGGAAAAAATATTCAAAGTAATCTGTTCAAAGCTTTGGAGAAAATTGAGTGAAAGTGGTTTTAATAAACTTAATTTTCTTAGCAATATTTATTTTTTACAGTCTTAAGACCTGGTACTTGTGAATTGGCAGTTGTGCCTATGCTAAGTCGTCTCATTTTAAATTCAAAATCAGTAATCTGTCACGTTACCTGGTCCCACCTCTACATTTCCTTGCTCCATCCTCTACAACCTTCTTAGAAACCTATTCCCTATCCCCTTTCTCTCTTTAATCCTCCATAACTCCTATTCATCTTTACTCTCAGGTGATGACTTTATATCCTATTTTCCTGAAAATGTAGAAACAACCGCTGTTTCCATGTGCCAGATACCTTGCCATTGCCATCCTGTTCTGTAACTAAAATGTCCCTTTTAGATAAGGTGACCTTTCCCTCAAAATGTGTTCTTTTGCTTCTTCAAGGATCTCACTCCAGTAACTTTTATTCTTTTATCAGTTTTCTCTTTTTTACTGAGTCAAACCCATGAGCATATAAATAAATTATATTTTTTCATCAAAATCTTTCAACTACACATCTCTTTGCAGCTACTGTCCTGTTTATAGCAAGATTTATTGAGAATTTGTCTATCCTAATAGCACGTAAGTTCTATCAGAGAGGATGTCATGTTCTCTGCTGTATTCCTAGTACTTGGAACAGTACATATACCCGAATATCATATAGGTTTTTATTGAATGAATTCTGTCTATAGTTCTTTTGACTCAATTCTTAATTCTTTCCTTACTTGATTGATCAGTAGCATATTACATGGTTGACCAGTCTTAATAATTTATTAATAATTTCTTACTAAAGAGTACTACCCTCTCCAAGCCATCTACCTTGCTCATTTGCCACTCCCTCAGTATCCTGTTTCTTTATTTCTTTAATCTCTAAAAGTCACAGTGCCCCAGGGCTTAGCTTTGGTCACAGTGTGGCCTCACTCCCTCAGTAATCTCTTCAAGTGTTAAATTAAATACCATTAAAAGCCATCTGTCTGTTGATGATTCATATTTTTATCTCTGGCCTACCCCCCTGAGCTATATTGTAGGATCATATACTCAGCATTCCACTTAATATCTTCACTTGAATCATGTGATAAGCATCTCATACTTGGGCAAAACCAAACACCAACCCTTTTCCCTACCTCCGACTTGCTCTTCCCAAAGTCTTGCTCATCTCAGGAAAAGAAATAGCCATTCTTCCTTTGACCAACCCTAAAACATTTTTTCATCCTTGACCCTTCTTTTTCTCCTACCTTCCATTTAATCTACTTCGAAAGTATTGTTAGTTCTACTTTAAAAAAATGTCTAGAGCCTCTTTCCCTCTCCTCCTTTTCTATCCTGCTTTAAACCTCTGTTGTGTCTCATCTGGATTTGTCAGTTTTATAACTGGTTCTATTATTCTGGTCTTGCTTCCTGCACCTAAAATGATCCTTTTATAAAGATAAGTCAGGCCAGGCATGGTGGTGCACACCTGAAATCTCAGAGGCTTGAGAGGCTGAGGCAGGAGGATTGTGAGTTCAAAACCAGCATCAGCAACTTAGGCACCAAGCAACTCAGCAAGACCCTGTCTCTAAATAAAATGTGAAAAAAGGGATGGGGATGTGGCTCAGTGGTTAAATGCTCCTGGGTTCAATCCCTGGTAACCACCCCTCCCCCCCACCAAAAAAAAAAAAATAAGTTAGATCACAGTCTTCCTCTGCCCAAAATCTTTCTGTGGCTCCCCTCTGCATGAATGCCAATCATTCTTAAATGGCCTATGGTAAGGCCTCCTTGAGCTGACCTCTGTTTTCTTCCTGACCTCATGTCCTACACTGATCTCCTTACTCTGCTCTGTCTATTCCTACTGTGTCTTTTGTTGTTTGTTTCCCCACCACTGCCTCTGGGCTGAACATTTTGTTCACTCTTGAATTTTGGGCACCTAGAGCAGTGTCTGGAGCATAGTAGATTCTTAGTAAATTTTTGTTTAATGAATATACCTCAACCTAGATATCTCTATTTATGTAGGAAAAGATAAACTTGATAGTGACTCGGAGTCATAGTTATCTGATTATCGTAACTTCTGATTGTGGTCCTTTATAGTCCCTGTGATTTTTTATTCCAAAACTACCATAAAGATTATTTTCCTATTAGACATAAGCCATATATATATTATTAGACATAAGCCATATATATATATATATTATTTTCTTATTAGACATAAGCCATATATATATATATATATATATATATATATATATATATATATATATGTATATTTGATAAGTAGAAAGAAAAGTTATATAACCACATACTAACTTGGAATTAGCCTTTAATAGTAAGCATAGATTAAGTATAAGCAAAATGTTAATATAGTAGATAGAGCTAACATTTGCATAAATATAACTCAGGCTCACTTGCCCTAAATCATTTGATTTCACACCATCCAACATGACCTCCTTTAAGATGCAACAGCATTTGATGTGTTATGCTTGTTCATTGTGGTGGTATCACAGTTGTTTGCACTGTTAATGTTACAAGAATAAAGAAAAGGGAGAAATTATTTGAAAAATTTCACCAAGCATGATTGTATTATATATACAAAAAGGTTTTATAGCTTATGAGAGAAGTTAGTAGTATGAGTTTCCAAAGTCATCATGTTTCTAAATAAATAAGAATGAAATTGGGAGCTTCATAGGTGGCTGCAACTAAATATTAAATATTTAGGGAGGGGACTCTAGGAACTCTGTGACCATATGTTAAGAACGATGCTGAGTACTTTAATGTCTTGTGATGCTGTAAACATAAAGCCAACTTGCAGTTTTCCTCCTGCAGGTTGTACCTATTTCATTTTAGAGAAGAGATATAGATTTTATTCTTTCTATTTTTTTTTAATTTTTTATTGTTGGTTGTTCAAAACATTACATAGTTCTTAATATATCATATTTCACACTTTGATTCAAGTGGGTTATGAACTCCCATTTTTACCCCGTATACAAATTGCAGAATCACATCAGTTACACATCCATTGATTTACATATTGCCATACTAGTTTCTGTTGTATTCTGCTGCCTTTCCTATCCTCTAATATCCCCTGATTTTATTCTTTCTATAATCTTGAGTTCCCTTTGATACATGTGTAAAGAAAATAGCGAATTTTAGGTAACTCTTTCTGTATATCAGATATAGACTAATATAACTTTTTGAACTTTATTTTCTGTAATTAAATTAATAACATTTCAATTTAGGATTCAATCTTACCTATTCAAGCTGCTAGGTTCACATTTTCTAGTTGATCTTTGTGGGGTAGTCTCTAACAAGAAATTAACTCTTTAGGAGATCACAGCAATCAGGTGTTTTTCTGGATCAGAAAATGTCTTCCCTCCAGCTGGAAAGAAAATGCTCTCTGATTGTGGGGTCCTGGAGCCAGCCAAGCATGGATTTGATATCTACATGGATGAGCCTAAGCAGGGGGACAGAGACAGCTGCTCAGGAAGAGAGGGGATGGCATTTGAGGATGTGTATGAAGTAGATACCAGCACACTCAAGTCAGACCTTCACTTCCTGCTGGATTTCAGTACAGGTAATCTGACTCATCTATAGCTGATGGTGCTCTGTATTCTCAACTATCTGCAGTGTTCCAGTAGCAAGTATCTAGCAAGAGAAAAACATGACATAATGGCTAGTTTTCACAATTGCCTGTGGAGAGTGAGTAGAGGTAAGGAGTTTTTCAATTAAATGACTTATCTGACAATGTTGAACCTCTGCAGTTTCCCCTATGCTGGTAGATTCATCTCTCCATTTCCAGTCTGAAGAAGCGTCTGATTTGGGCACAGATGTGATAAATGTGACCGAATATGCTGAAGAAATTCATCAGTACCTTAGAGAAGCTGAAGTGAGTTTTCCCAACTTCTCCAGGATCCCAAGCTCCTAATATTAAGCTACAAGTTCTTGACCATACCACTAGAGAATGGCTCTATCGTGGTATCCAAATGTAAGAAATCTATGAAAAATAATGCAGGTCAAATATCTCTAGTCTGACATTTCAAAATTTAAAACTTTTTGAATGTTAATATGATGCCAGATGTGGAAAACTCCACGCCATGAATCTTTGTTTTATGCACAAAATTATTAAAAGTATTATATAAAATTACCCTTGTCTGTGTGTATAAGTTATGAATTTTATGTTTAGGCTTGGGTCCCATCCCCAAGATGGCTAATAGTGTATATGTAAATATTAGAAAAAAATCCCAAATCCAAGACATCATGTCCCAAGCATTATGGAAAAGGAATACTCAACCTGAAATAGTGATGGTAAGTAGCAATTGTAGGCACAATTTCTATATGACTCAAAGGATTTATGTGTTGAGTATTTCACTGTTAGGAATAACCAATATTGCTATTTCCTCCTCAAGTTGTTAACTTATTACATTATAGAACCAGAATTTCATAGTTTCTTCTTTATCATGATGAAAACATTTGTGTCTAGCATCCTCCTAACCTTTGCTCATGAGATTTTAAAGTAAAATAGCAACTATTCTGGAGAGTGATCTTTCTGATATTACAACTTTCTACATATCCAAATTATTTTCCCAAACAGATAAGATACAGACCCAAAGCACACTACATGAGGAAACAGCCGGACATCACAGAAAGCATGCGTACGATTCTGGTGGATTGGCTGGTGGAGGTTGGCGAAGAATATAAGCTTCGATCAGAAACTCTGTACCTGGCTGTCAACTTCCTGGACAGGTTTCTTTCCTGCATGTCTGTTCTGAGAGGGAAATTGCAGCTTGTAGGGACAGCAGCTATTTTTCTGGCTTCGTAAGTAATTCTTTGAGCTTGAATAATGTAAAACTACCTCCTGTCAAAACACTTGACTTTTTTTTCACATTTATTAAAGAAATGCAATGCTTGATAATTAGAACTATTTGTGTCTCTTTTGATAAAAGATCATTATCTTTTCAGGATTACCAAGAAACTGAATCTCACCCACATGTTCACTCTTCAATTCAGATGTTTAAGATTTATTACAACAAGTTCAATGTCGTGACTAAAGGAGCCATCAGCTCAAATGCAGGAATTTATTTTGCAGAACAGTCTTTTGGCTATATTCTAATATAAGTAAAAGTCCTATTTAAAGAGATTTTGATTGCATAAAAACTGTCTTCATGATATAGCAAATAACTCACAATAACAGTTTATTTATTTGGTTATAGTTTATAAACAATTTTAGTTGGTTCCTGTTCCTATCAGTGACTCATAGTAATACCTCATTGTGTGAGAAAAAAGAGTTGGGTTATATCTGAGCTGTCATGATGTAACCTGTTACTGCATGATGGTTTCTATTTTTCTGGTTTTAAATAGTCTAGTTATTAATATGTAAACACTTGCCAATGTTTCCTAAAGAAAGTAGAACAAAAGCAGAAGGGAAGAAATGAAAATAGTGAAACATCATTCTCCTTCTCTTGACTATTCAGCGTCAATTGCTAATTCAGCAGACAAAGTTAAACATGATGTTTTTAAAAATCAAAGGTGTATGAATTTTTTTCTCTCTTTTCCACAAAAGAATTTGAAGTCTATAGAATTGATAGGAATTCATTTGTGCTGTCTGTCATTCAGAATTTTTCAGTGTATCTGAGACCAAAACCTAAACTCTCAGTTGGACATGGTGTCTCTTTCTACTCCTAGCAGTAAGTACAACATGTTCTCATAATACTCATGTTCATGATCTGGAAACAAGCTCTTAATATTTTCATAGCCCTGTGAAATTCAGTGATATTGGAGTGGATAAAGAGGGAATAAAGAACTCTGCAGGTCTCTGTTGAGAAACATGGCCTGTGGTAACACAGGAAGTAAAGTATGGGTGCCAAACTACTCCTAAAAATTCTCTACCTTTCCCAGGAAATATGAAGAGATATATCCACCTGAAGTAGATGAGTTTGTCTATATAACTGATGACACATACACAAAACGGCAACTATTAAGGATGGAACACCTGCTCCTGAAAGTCCTAGCTTTTGATCTGACAGTTCCAACCACCAACCAATTTCTCCTTCAGTACTTAAGGCGTCAAGGAGTGTGTGTCAGAACTGAGAACCTGGCCAAGGTATGCCATGTGATTTCCAGGAACTTCTGGTACCAAAGAGGGTAAAAAGCAGCCTTTCCCAGTCATCCTTCAGTTCTGCATTCCTTTGCAGTTTTTTTCCCCTAGTCTTGGGCCCAGTACACCTTTTTAGCAATGAAAGACAGCTAATTTTAAGAACACAAAATCTGGTTACAGGACATTACTATTGACTATAGTTGGCAGGCACAGGTTGTCAAATCAGTCAACCATCAAAGGAATTTAAACTTGGAAACTCTTCCCTTGGTGTGTATATAGAATCACATGCAAGCAGCACTTCTTAGTTTGGGAACTAAGATATAGTTTAATTTTGTTCTAATATCATCCTAACCTATAAACTAATGAAGTGTTGTTTGGTTATTTAATGTTATAGAAACTTAGTTGAAAGTACTAAAGTATTAGTCTAATCAACTTGCTTTCTAGTCACTCCAGACTATGATATCTAGTACATTTATGCCATACAGGGAGTAATAAGGATGTCCATATACATTTCTAAGTATATTTATTCTGACATGATATGTTCCCATCAGTTCTGTTCTAGACTCAGAACCATATTCATTTGCCTAGTAAATTAATAGCTTTAATATTGTCATATCTTTGCCTTTGACTGAAGGCTCTGTTCCCATTCCAGGTGCCAGAGCAATACAACTTTATCTGACCAGCATAAACTTGCACTACTAGTGTAAGATGAGAAAAGTAACCTATCATATGTACTTTGTGGATAGGCCAAATACTAGGGTATTGAAATTCTGTTAAAACATAAATATTATTCTGGTTAAGGACAGTCATACCAATTATTGACCCAGTGATTAATTTTAACTATGTCTGTACTCATCACTGGATACTGTCTGAACAAAGAGAAGACACAATTTATTACTATGACTTTTCTAGGTTTACTTATGACTTCAGTCAATTAGATCTTGGTCAAATTTCTAACTCCAATGAGGTTTTTTTCTCTTGTGCTTAGTATGTAGCAGAACTGAGTCTACTTGAAGCTGATCCATTCTTGAAATATCTTCCTTCATTGATAGCTGCTGCAGCTTACTGCCTGGCAAACTATATTGTGAACAGGCACTTCTGGGTAAGTTTCTTCTTTCTAGATGAAATTCAAGACCTGTCTAAAATCTGTTCAGTAGTTTTTAAGGCTTACAGGCTTGCCTCTTAGAAGGGCAAGTTTGTTTAATAAGGAACTGGATGTCTTTACAGTAGACTGCAACTTGCTGCTGAGTCTTGCAGGTCAGCCAGTCATCATGGCTTTGACTCAGTAGCTTTAGTCTATGTCCAGCAGAGGTTGCAAGAAGTCCAGGCGATCATGTTGCAACAGAAGCGGGCCTGAAAATCTGGGTGCCCACTGCTAATGACTTGAGATACAGTCATTGGCTGCTTCAAGCAAAAGTTGTTGACTTTTATCATATGTGGAAAAAAAAAATCATCAGTCCAATGAGGATAGCTAGAAATTGCAGTAGGCTTTTGAGAAAACAGGACAGTTGGTGTTGCCTCTTTCCTGAGGAGGTGGTATCATCAAAAACAGGTCCCTAGGTTTTGTTCTGAAAGCTCACTGTTATACTAAAAAAAAAAAAAAAAAAAAAAAGGGGTATTTCCCTTTATTTTCTGGAATACTTAGTTTTTATGCTGCATTTAGACTAAGAAGCTTTCACTTTCTATACAAATAAGGTGGTCACAAAAGTAGGACTCTTTAAGGGACTGCTAAAAACCACGTTCATGAAGGTACAGGGAAAGTGATCTGCCCTAAATTGAGAATTATGATATGAAATATGAGCAAACTTAGAAATTTAGAACTCTGCTGTATTTTAAGTATTTCATATCTAATGTCTCTGAAGAAGGTGGACATGCTTTCTTTAAATGAATATGGACATTTACTTTTACAATTGGTTGTCTTCTGACTTCTACATCTTAAAAAGTTATGTGAAACAATTTTTTTTCTTTTGTCTTGATTAGCCAGAAACCCTTGCTGCATTTACAGGCTACTCATTAAGTGAAATTGTGCCTTGCCTGAGTGCGCTACACAAAGCATGCCTTGACATACCCCATCGACCTCAGCAAGCAATTAGGGAGAAGTATAAGGCTTCAAAGTAAGTTACAGACATTTTCTTATCTTGGCTCTGTTCAAAGCTTAATGGGTAATAGTTGTATCAGAATTAGAAGTGGAATAAATTATATATCTGGTGTTAGGTTGGTAAAGTAAGAATACATGTAAAATCAAGAAAATGAATTTGGAGAGACCTAGATTGATAATTGTCAGATTGTAGTAATTATAGTCAGTCAGCTTCCTTCCTATCTGCTGTGATGACTTAGAGAGTTTTCTGTAGTGCCAGGGTCCTGCACCAGCAGGGTCCAGGGGGTCCTAAAGGATGAGAGGCATCAGCACAAGGGATGAGACAAGGAGTTGTTCCATTGGAGCAATCTCCAGAGAGAGAGAGAGAGAGAGAGCGCGAGAGCGAGCTGTTACTGCTTTCTCTCTGTCTCCTTTTATTTTACTTTTTCTCATCATTACGGGTCCAGAATCATTAATAAAATGTGTCATCAATTTACAATTTCCAGATTTTCCCAGGGTGTGACATTTCCTTATTTAACAGATGCCAAACTACGTAACCAGACTCTATGTCTCCTAACCTGTCATTAATCTTTAAGTATAAAGCACACCTGTACTTAAGATCCCATCTAAAAGTCCCCTTATAACAATCTTATAATATATTCTAAAAGCAACTAAAAATGCCTACATTTATTCTCATAAAACTGATTAAGCTACTTTCTCAGAGAGTTTCTTTGTTTCTTAGTCAAAGTACAGCAGTTCTTAAATCTTTAACTAAAGGGCAGGCTCTGTATGTCAATCCCCCTGCTGCTAACATTAACTATGCTTATCATAAATCCCTATGTAAAGTTAAAAGAGGGTCTATTAGAAGGAAAATATATTTTAACTAACTTTTTCTCCCCTGGATGAATACCATATCTATCTACCCTTAATTAAATAGGCTACATATGCTACGTGCAATGGACATGATAACTGTCTACGCAGGTTTGAAAGACTGAAGATATGAACTCGGATTCTTAGTTGATATAATCAATTGTGGTGCCTAGTGTTCCTGTAACATTTCCCAGAATGATTGTTGATATTTTTCTGTTTTGCCCTATATGTCCCTAGAGATAGTAAAGCAGCCTTAAAGTCATGAACCACCTGTTATATTCTTGGCCATCTAGAATTTAAAGTCTACTCATGCCTTCTGTTAGGCTGAATATAAAATAAAAAGTCCCAATTATATAAAAAAGGGTCTCATGATTTTGGTTTCCCACAAGTGTCCTCACTGTGACCTTGTCAAGACAATGGGAGGTGAAATGCTTTCACCACTGTAGCCTAACTGAGATTATATAAAATGAATGTCTGTGTTATGTGCTAACCTTGCTGTGGGTTTCATTTCAGGTACCTGCATGTGTCCCTCATGGAACCACCTGCAGTTCTTCCTCTGCAATAAGTGCCAGAACTGGAGCACTTCCAGAACCCAACCATCATATCAACAGGATTGCTCTTAGTTTCCATAAGTTTCTTCAAGTTTGGCCGACTAATGTCAATATAGATGACTTTTAAAATATGTAAATGTATTAGGTTCTATTAGACTTTAGTAGTTATAATTTAGTCTAGCATTTTTAAAGAATAAACTACTTGCCTTATGACCATGTGTTAGGCTTATTTATTAGTTAGCGTGGCTGACAGACTTGCCTGGAATTTTAGTTGATAATATTACAAATGTCATCACTATTTCAAGCATTCTCCTAAATTGGTTTTATAAATGAGGCATGCTATTCAGATTCAGTGTTGAGGCATGCAGGGATTTTCATGCTTGGTAAATGGCTTGTTGTTTCCCGAGGATCTCTATAGATTGAAAAAGAAGGGAAAGGCTAGCTCATGCAGAATGGTGAAGAGACACCAGCAAGCACTTCTACTCCTGCTTCTTCCACAGTTTAAATCAGTGGGCTGAGGCCTAAATGTGTTCAAGTATATTTGGTGGTGACTTACATTTCATTCTAATCCAGGAATGTTATGCTCATTTGTAAAAGGATGCCATCATGTCTGTATTCAGGTTGGATTTAGGAACTCATCAGCATGTTTTTTAGTTTTAGAAGATGTCTTCTGGGGTAGAAAGAGCAAACTTCATCATGAGACTTGAGACTAATGAATCCAACCCCTTTACATATGTCCTTTGAGAGATACCCACTCTAAGCTTTGCTGTTGCTTAAATTATTCACAATTCTGTATTTACTTTCTTACACATTCATATGTGGCACTTTTCAACAGCACTTTGTAGGATACAAGATAGAAAAAATTGAAAGCAAAACATTTGTTTTGACTTCTATTTTAAAGATTGAAAGGAAAAATGAGAGTAGATTTGTTCTTAAATGTGAATTATGCTTATTGAGGATTAAATGTGAGCTTTGTGTTTGTGTTGTTGTTAAGCACAAAATTGGTGGTTCTGGGCCAGTAGGTCTTAATGGCTCATGAACCTTCTGTGCTGTGTGCTTGTCCTCTGGGGAGAGGCCTCTGTTTGTGGACCTGCCCCCAGGCTCAGTCTGAATGACTCTGGAGGCAAAAAGAAGGAAATATGTTTTCTGGATTCCCTTCACATAGGAAAGATTAGATGTGGGTATATTTTGGAAAAATGAGAGTAGATGAAATTCACTCCATGTTTTACACTTTTTTCAAGCTCTAATGGAATTATGAATATAAAAATATAGACATATTTTGTGAATAATTTTTTTTATATTTGAAAGTACTCCCACACTCTTACAAGGTTTTAGCATTGCTCCCTCCTTTTCCCCTGCAGATAAACATTCTCAAGTTGTCTCCATTTGAAGAAATCAACATTTTCTTAAGTTTTTTTATATTTATAACATATGTTTCATAAGGGAACATAGGTCCTATATCAATATTGAATTCTCTATGTTTATGTTATATAATGAACAATTGGCAATGTCACCTGGTTTATGTCTGGGTGACATAAACTGCATATATATGCTGAACTTTCCAGCAGTCCTGCAAATGGTAGTGCAATCCCTTCTCAGTGGGGCAGGTGGCTGATTTTGGTCACAGAAGTTCTGTATTTGCCCCTTTCAAACCTTAAAGATTTGAGCAACTCAGCCAGGGAAGCTTCCTGTCATTCTCTATCTGTTTATGTTGGCTGATCACTTACTTTCCTATGATATGTGTGTCTATCTCATACTGGATCCTGACACAATAACATTTGGACCCAGTTTAGAACCAGACACAGTAATATTTTCTTTTTTTTTTTTTTAATAGTAAGATTATGATTTTAGAATGCTTTACTTAAGCTAAAAGGGACTTTGTAGAAATAGATCATCCATTAAAAAATCACTTTGCAGAGGATGTTTTTGTTTCTAAATCTGGATCCAAAATATACCATGAAACCACACTATAAGTCTGCACACATACCTTACGTTACTTGCTATTGGCAATTTGCACATACCCCATTCCCACACCCCCAACACAAATACCCACTGACTGCAAAGAACTAGACCTCAGCTTTGACTTTCTTTTTTATTATTTTATTGCCTCCCTGAAATACATTATTTGAAAACAGAAATATAACTTTCCCCTGTGTATCTCCTGCCAAATTTGAAAGTGAATATCAGCCATCTGCATGCCCATCCTTTGATTTGTTCTTCTTTCCTAAATTTTTTGTTGATGAAGTCCATTCACTGTTTTTATGAATATGTGTCTATAAACAATGCTTATTTTTAACGTTTAATGGTCATTGATAGTCTCTTGTACCCTTCTGTGTTACATATCCGAAGTAGCATTGTTTTTTGAGATTATCCATAGGGAATAAGTAGAATCTTAGTTACTTCTACTATTATAAAATATTTTATCATAAGAATATGGTTTATCTGTTCTCTTAATTTCCGCCCATCTCTCCCTTTCCAGCCACACCCACTTTTTGCCACCCAGGAAACTGGTCTGGGCAGGGCTCTGGGTTGGGAGTACTGTTATCTGTCTACCTTTGGATGCTCTTTTGCTTGTGGCTTTAGACAAACCCAGCCTTTCTGAGGAACTCAGACATGACCATGAACCAATGGGCTCTTAGTGAAGTGTTCCTCAAGAAAGGATGATAGGGGCAGCATTTGATGACCCTTTGTTGAGAGCTAAAGCCCAAGATGGGATGGATATAAGCAACATGCTCTGTTTTTTCCCTAAAGCTTTCACCATCAGAGTTAAAACAGCTACATACATTTTAGTCTAAAACTTTGAAATGGAAGTATATACTATTTGGCTGAGAGAGCCCTGGCCCATGCTACTGCCAAGTTTTCTGCTCCATGTGTCAGGGCTGTGGGGATAGGTACCTGGGGCAGGAGAGGTGCCGCAGTCTGGCTGGGCACAATCAGCAGCCACTTGTCAAAAGAAACTAACTTTATTTTTAGAACCACACACGCCAAACAAAACAGCCTCTCAGGAAAAACCCTCAGAGCCTCAACTGCCACAACCGGCTTTCCACAAGCCTCTCTCTCCCACACAAGCTTCTCTCCACCTCCCACAATCCTCCTGCTCTTGAGGCCGATTGGCTGGGTCACGTGGGCGGAGCCAAAAAAGTCCCCCAATGAGCAGCTCCGTGGTCTGAAAGGGTGGGGGAAACAGCCCAATGAGCATCACCGCAGAGGAGCCAATCAGCTAGATGTTGCTGGGGCCGCTGTGAGCCAATCATCAGCTGGCAGCTGGAAGTTTGCTGGCAGCTGGAAGTTTGCTGGGGCCCCTTCCGCTGTGACTCTCAACAGGGAGGAGCTCCTCAGGGTGCACGGTTGTGATTCCATGTAGCATCCTGGCACCAAGGCAAGACCCAGTGTGCAAGACCCAAAGTCTCTGATGGTTTTTCAGTGCAGATGAGACATCCCTCCCTTTAGTTTCACAGGATATGTATGAATTCATTGTAGGCAGAGAGTTGTTTGTTTTTACTATGTTTTTCATTAGGCATCACTGGATTTGATGGTAATTTTTGAAAAAAGGAATGGGAAGTACTCAGGCAAAGGGAAAAGCATGTGGGAAGGGGATCAGGTTATCATTAACTGAATCATAACAGAGTATGTGGATAGAATGCCTCAAATGGAACTAGAGATCTGAGATCAGGTAAATGTCTGAGGTGCTAGGGGAGGAACTGGGGTCAACTTGGGCTCATCTGACTAAACTCAAACCTGCTAGAAAAGACTCTCTCCTTTGATCTGCAAAGAGAACATAGAGAATAACATCCATATACCACCATGTGGAGCTGAGTACCTCAATTGTCATGAGTATTGATTTCAAATGTGTCATCTAGAATGTGGTTTCTTCAGTCAAACCTTGGTGATTCTCAGAAGCTCGTTCTTTTAGGAGAATTATAACTGAGAAGTGAATACAGTGGGAGACCAGTTCTACCTTTATCTTTTTATTCAGGACTTAATTCTTAATTTTATCCTAAACAGGAGACCAGGATCCTGTTTTCAACTTGGCTATCAATTGTGTGACACTGGTTGTATTCAGGTAATCTGTTGTGTCAGCCATCTCCAAATCTCTGAGGCTCACTTTGTTGAAGACTTCTCATTTCACCCTCCAGTGCATGTTGACGTTTGGGAGTTTTTGTTTCTACATGTCCATCCTTCTGCAGAAATCCCCTGCTTGATTCTTAAACGTGGTAGGCAAGGCATGAGAATGTGGAGAATTCACACCCATCCTTACTGCAAGGAACTGGGAAATGAAACTCAGCTCTAAGCTCTGGGAGGAAAGGTGATTTCAGTGTTGATAAAGGATTTATCTTTGCCACTGTGGGCATCTCATTCATTGTTCTGAACTTTAATCTCACCGTGAATGATGAGTTTGATTGAATTGATATCTGTTTACTTTTAGGAAATTAAATAATTTTTGCTATTTCTAGCATATCTGGACAACACCTTTGAAATAACTTACTTTGGAACTTCACCCTTTTTAAACAGTAACATTTCTGAAATAATGAGTGCGTTACAAATGTTCTAACATCCATTAGAATACATAACTACTGAATGTAGGTCACTTAAAACTCTGTATATCAACCCATGGAATTCAGTAATCTGAATTCTGTGGAAAAAAATTTTAATGGTTAAAATAAAGTAAATGCAAATATGAATTCACTTTATTACATATCTTAAACTTGAGGGTGCTTGGGCAAGATGTTTGAAAGTTGATCACCATCTGCATTCTCCCCTGAGAATGTCATACCTTAGGATGATTAAGGACAACAGAAAGGGGTCACATTAAAGTAACGGGATGGCATTTCATTTCAGCCTTATTCCCCCTTTCCCTCCCTTGCCCTCAAACACTAGAAGCTAAAGTGGGGGAAGTGGCAAGATTGGCATGTCTGAGATGGACAATTTGATGTGGCAGTTTTGACATCTAGAGCAAGAGCAGGGCTGGGGAAAGTGCTTAAACTTGAGATGATATGTCAAACCAGAATTTCTCTTAGAAACAAAGAATAACAGGGTTACTTTCCTGATGCCTGAATCCATCTCTGTCCTCACACTCCTCCTGTCACAGCCCTAGCAGAGCCCCCTGTCATTCTCATCTGCATGAATCATTGCCGCAGTCTGGCTGGGCACAAAATCACGAGCCACCACACACCTTGTAGATTCAAACAGCAACTCTTTATTCTCGAACTCACCGGCAGTCTACAAACACGTTTTGGGGGAAATCCACATTCTGGGCAAAATCCACACTCTCCACCGGGCTCTGAATCCCAAAATAACTCTCTGAATCCCACGGGAACTCAACGGGAACTCAAGGAGCGGCGCACCTGAGGCAGCAGGATAAGCCCTATTCCCAGCAGGGTACACCTTAAACCTGGAACCGCCCTAAATCCCCAATCCACCCTGGTCCTTGAGCAAGGTCACCTTTCATGCAAAGTCACTGCAAAACCTGGGTCCACCATGGAGAGTCCTTCCTTTAAGCAACATGGAGTAGGCTGACAAAGAAATTGCGATGCGTCATTCCTACTTGGCAATGACTCTCAGCAAATCATAGGAATAAACTCCCCTGGCTCTTTAGTTTCCTCTTCCCTTTTTCTAGAGTTCCTGCAATGAAATTGAGTACCACTTTCCTGAGTTGAATTCTTCCATCTCTTATTACCATTGGGACAAAATATGGGGCACATAGGCCCTTCAATATTCAGACCTACCCACCCCAACAGATTTTGCTTGAGTTAACCCATTGTTCCCTTCCAGAGACTTCTTGATCTGAAAACAGTTCCCTCATCCCTATACCTATACCACTCTGCTACTGATTCATCAGAATGAATCATTTATTTGGCTCTCTGTCAGCCTCAGGTAAGTGTCTTTGTGGACAACTGGCTGACATTTGCCTATGTTCCCCTCCTAGATCATATTTCATCCTTTGCCCTCAACATCTGACTTTATGCTAGGTATTCAGTAATGTTTTATTGAATAAACCAATTGACTATGGCTTTTTATAGACAATCACTAGCCCTTGATTTAATTAGCCACAAAGTGACATAGCTGGGAATTATACAGCTTTTCAAAGAACATTTATATAAAATGAATTTATGAGAAAAATCATAACAGAAACAAAATATACTGCACAAAATTCATTCTCTTCATAATTCTTACATCTCTTGTATATAAGAAGCTGGAAGGTAAAGAAAAACTTTCACTAGAAACTTGAAATAATTTTTTTTTAAAGATGAGAATTGGGGATAGAATGATTCTTGAGAGACAGATTCAGGGCTTTGCTGTCTTTTTTGGCCTTTATGTATTTCCTCATCTGCTTTAGAGGGAAGATTTTTTATGTTCAAAAGGAAATCTTTCTGAGCTGCCATTTAATAAGGAATAACATCTTATTTTGCATGTATTCTGATACATCATAAATCATACTTGCTTTTGAAATGCATAAACAAAAGACCTTTAAGCAGAATGACTTATTCTTCAATCCCTGAAAATAAAATCACTTCATGATGGCATAAATCTTGAAGCTTTGGCTTTGTGACAGAACGTTAGAGGAGGCACCCCAGAATTGAAGGACTAATGCAAGTTATTAATGTTTATGGAACAGTAAAGCAGCAATGGCCAAATCAACCAGACTGAGCTCAGTCCAGGAGCAAAGGTGGTGAGACCACTGTTGGTGTCTTTTGTGGTGGGAGCAGG